TTTTTTTTTTTTTGATCAAATAAATATTTTATCTAATTGAAAAATATTATTATTGTTGACAATAGCGTCTCACCATTTTAAATTTGGAAACGGCATAAGGCGGGCGTGGGTGGCAGCGCAAAACCAATTGATTTTTGTTGTTCTCTCTCTCCCTTGGCGTGTTTGCTTTTTTGGACTGGGTTTACTGCGTCTGCCTCTGCCTGTTTATTTATTGGAAAAATTTTATCTACACCCCCTCTAAATAAGTCTATTTTTAACGATATCCCCTGCCTTTTTTAAAACTTCACTGCACTCCCCTATCAATGTTGGTCGACAAACAGACGTGACGAAAACACACTTTTTACCATTTTACCCATGAATTTTATAAAGATTTATATATTTATCAATTATTTTTCATTAAATTATATATAAATAGGTATTACCTTGTTTGCTTCTTAATGTGCATGAAGTTAATAGTTATATAAATAGTTATTACCCATTTATTATCTTGTTTGGTTGACATTTTATGTGCGATATTATTTTTCTAATTACAATACTGACTTGATTTGTACAATAACCTTTATCCCTTATACATGACTTTAATGAATACCACCTACCAGGTGGTATTATTTGCTCGTATAAATCCACTAATTGTATAAGTAAGGAAAATAACACAAATACTCTCATTTGTATAGTTCACTTATAAAAAATTTATTTTAAATTTTTTCCTTATATTATATTTAAGTGTAATATGTCACTGATTTTTTTTTAAAAATTTTGAAAAAAAATTATTTTAAATTTTTTTCCTTATATTATGTTTAAGCATACGATGTTATCGATTTTAAAAAAAAAAAAAATTTAAAATTTATTTTGAATTTTTTCTTATATTATGATTAAGCGTACAATGTCACCAGTTTTTTTTTAAAAAATTATTTTAAATTTTTTTCTTATATTATGTTTAAGCATATGATGTCACCGATTTTTTTTAAAAAAAATTTAAAAAATTATTTTAAATTTTTTCCTTGTATTATGTTTAAGCGTACAATGTCACCAATTTTTTTTAAATTTTTTTTTAAAAAAATTATTTTATTTTTTTTCCTTATATTATGTTTAAGTATACGGTGTCACCAATGTTTTTTTTTTAATATTTTCATATTATTATGTTTAAACATACGATATCATCGATTTTTTTTTTAAAAAAAATTATTTTAATTTTTTTTCTTATATTATGTTTAAGCGTACAATGTCACTAATTTTTTTTTATGGTATCACTGATTCATATCACTAGATTTTTTTTGTGAATTTTTTATATTATTCTTCACCGATTCATTCTAGGACTAGTGGCTTGGGTTCATTGCCATGTTTTTACAGTTAGGTAATTGGGTTGTTGAGACATGAGAGAGAGAGAGAGAGAGAGAGAGAGAGATGGTGAAGGTGTCATGGGAAATAGAAGGGTAAAATTAGTATTTAATAAAAATTTTGGTATGTCATCAACACTTTTCTAATAGTCAGTAACAACCGGTTACGGTAGGGGGTCTAGGTGAAAAGAACATATAAATTAGAAGGAAGTGCAGTGACGTTTCAGAAAAGGCAGAGGATGTCGTTGAAGATAGACCTATTTAGAGGAGGTGTAGATGAAATTTTTCCTTATTTATTTCATTTCTTTCTTGGTTGGGATTGGGATTGGGGTTGGCTTTGGTTTTTTTTTTTGGGGGGGGAGAGGGAAATAAATTTATAATTTATAATTTATAATTATGTGTTGGTAAAAATTATTTCTTACAATTTCAAGGAATAGTTTAAATGATTACAGAAACGAACTGTAAAATCAGACGTCTTGAGTTTAAATCTTGACAATTCATTAAGCTCATAAGAGATTTATCTCTAAAAAATATCTTAATTTTGACTGTTTTTTATCAGATCAAGGTAGAATATGTCTTGAATTTTGTTTAATACTAAATCTATCTTTATGTAAAGTGTTTTCAACTTGAACTAACAAAAAGATGACCAATATTGAGAAAAATTGACAAAAAATATGTTGGAATAGATTAAACTTTTAGGATTTTGAAGGGTTCAAGATCTTGATTTCTGATTGTGAGCCAATCCTTTGCAAATTATGTTTTTGAAGTTTATCTCCAGTGGTAATTAAAGGAAGGATGACCATTTCTATTTAAAATTTTTATGGATGCCCCAAATGAGAAACTGAAAATTCCAAAGGGGGTTGTTGGTGGGGTGGAATTCAGAGACAACAGTTGTGTAGGTTTGACAAAGTCCTAGTAATGAAGCATATTGTTAAGGTCATGAATAAACAAACACTCAAAAGGTTTGATGGGGTCGTCCCCAATCAAGTACTTCTTTTTTGTTTTGTTTTTTTGAATAAGTGTGTAATTCAAACTAACTCCATATTAAAAAAAATTTAAATATATAATATTAAAAAATTATTTTTTGATAATATCTTTCGGTCACCAACTTACTTAATCTTACGGCACTGGGTAGGCGTCAGCCCCCATACATGGTCTTATGACTTTGCGGAGACCTGTATTTTTGGTAAACAATCGTCCGGGCCTGGTCACTGCGACCCCCTTTGTGAGGAGCCACCCTTCTCCCGAAGTTACGGCAGTCCTATTCCGACCCTCAATAGTTCTTAAACTCAATCCACCTTCATCCTTCGGTCTACGTTGGACCAGCTGATCGTTTGGATCTTATAGGTGGGTTCGGGGCCTGACCAAAAGAAATTCTGAATGCTCAATGAAATGGATTTCCTTCTCCGAAAGCCTTTATATAGCACAAAGTCGTGAGTTTTCGTTAGGGCGGTTGATTGGTGT